TACTACTCTACCTATTGCTAACTGGTGCATTATATACAGCACTAAGATGTGTAATATCCATACACAAATATCGGGTGCATAATAGGTCGTAATAAAGAGCACAGTGACTAAAAGCAAAGAAACACTAAAGCATAGAAACAAATAGGCTCCAAGAGTATCATGTTGGCCATGATAATAATAATAAAAAAAAAAATAGAATGTTTGCAGTTAATAGTACTTATTTGGGTGCAGGTATTATGGTAACCCTCTGAAAATCTACCTCTAATTAATAAACATATAGAGCTATAGTACCGCAATCACTCAAGTATTACCACTGTACAAATTATAAGATGCACAGGATTTTTTTCATTTTTATTATACAGAAAAATTTGGGGGAAAAAAAGAGAATATTAACATTTTTCAAACTTTTGCTAAAATGTTTCACCTTTGGAATATGCTTAAATAAATGGAGATAACAAGAACACAGGTGTCTACAAGTGCCACCACTAATACAATGATCCTAATGTGACAAATAAATAATTTGGACAAATATAAATGCATACAGGTGTCAAGGAACCACATATAACCCCCCTTTGTATTTGTTTGTCTTGAATATACAGCAATAATGCCTCAAGAAATAAATTCTTAAAACAATAGTATTATGTGGAGTTACTCCAATTTTTGAACACCTGAAGGTGTATGCTTCCCTCCCAAAAAAGAAAGAAAGAACCTGTGTCCTTCAGACAAAGTCATTTGAATGCTTGTGTGATCCACAATAGTTAATGTATCAATATCAGTAAAAAAAAAAAAAAAAAAAGGATGAGGAAATAAGAAAAATGTAAAAAAAAACATGTAAAAAAAACCTGTTGTTTTAATAATGTTGAACAAAGGTTACTGAATATACATATTGGAGAAAACTGTAATCAAGAATGGGCCTAGTTATTTAAGTGACTTATGAGTCCAAAGCATACAGCACTGGAGCTCTCAAGGCTCCAGGACCACACAGACACCACCAGCAACAAGGACTGTTTGCTTTAAAGAGATACATGTTATATATATTTTTCCTTTTTCCTTTTTTTTCCTTTCTTACCTTCTTGATAATAAGATATGGATTCTATAACCTGAATTGTAAAATTACTATACTTGACAACTAACCTGATACAATTGTGATTTTTCCTAAAAACATCAGCAAAGCAATGTTTAGGTGATTAATCCTTTTATGTAAACTATATGTGTATTAGCTGTTGGTCTTACATTTTTTGGTAAATTTTTTTACAATGTGTATACACAGTACCCTTTGTACAAAATATTGTTTTTCAAACGTTTATAGCAAAGGGTGTCTTTATATGGATTTTTGTTGGCTAGAACGTTAATGTTGTAGCGGCGGCTGAGGTGGAGGGGTCATTAGATGAATGAAGCAGAGCTTGGGTTTTATATGTAAGCAGTGCCTGTATGTTTTTATGGAGAATGATTATGTAAATATAGGGATGTATTTGTGTTTGCACACACAGATACACACATATTGTCAGAATTTACTTGTTTTAGCCATCCTCCTATTTCCATAGCTTTTAGGTACAGTAAAGTGGCATCCCGGGGGTCCAGTGGGATCTGGCTGCAACAGGTGTTAGCTGAGGCTGATTGGCGTCTGAGGGCTCTGTGGTTTTCTGTTTAACAGTTTCCCTGCCTAATCTCTGATTCCAGAAGTAGGTATTATGGATGAGAGGGGCGATTGCCTCTCAGTCACACAATCAAGTAGCGGTAATGTCTCGGATTCACTCCCCAAACTCCCACCATCTTTGATCCAGGCCACAATCCCCCTCTTCTTTAATCCTCATCACTTGGCTGTCTCCTTGGCTAGTCTCCCTCTATCAGTGTGGCATAAATTACCTTTGCTGCCAGAATGGCCAAGAAGGCCTGTGCCAGCAGCTGTGCAGTGCCATATCTTCATGCTCCAAAGAGCAGTGGACAGGCCCCCAAAACCCTCTGTGGCCCTAGTGCAGTTACACTCGCTGAACCACTTATAATTTTGCCCCTGGCAGTGATTATTTTAGCTTCATTACTATTCAGTTGTTAGTAGATTTGTGCACGGTGTGAAAATCTGGTTCGGCTGAACCAAATTTCCTGAATATAATTTATTTGAGGACAAATACATTTCAGGCATATGTTGGCTCAGCACACCAGGATTTCTGTAAACTATATACATAATATTATTTATTCAAGATATATGTACAAGGAGTGTCTGGAAAAAAGTCCAATTGTTAATGTAAGGAAAATAGTTATACCTTGCAGTACGATGTGAAAAAAGGAAGATATAAGGGATATCGGGCGCTCCAATCAAATAATACAAGTGCAGCCTAAAAATACTCCACGTGTATTGTAACCAAGTACACTTATATAAAGACAGAAATACCACAGAAAAAAGTGTCAAAGCGCACACTGTAAAAATTCTTTACCTTTAAAATACAATAAAAAGTGATGGGACTCTTTCTTGCTAGAACCCTAAATCATATAAATACAAAACAGAGGAACCATAGTGTAACCTGTATACATAGATACATAGATAGAACAGTGATACAATAAAAATGGAACACTCACACTTTACAGAGCCCTTAAAGAGGGGCTCTAAACTGTAAAGGCATGTCACCCACAATAGAGATAGTTTTAGTGGTGTATCGCTAGAACCTTGAATTTTCCAAGTAAAACCTGGAACCAGTTAAAGTAGTTAAAACATAATAAAAAATTTAAATTTAAATGTTTTTACGGTTTTGTTGGATATATTCGTGTTTGCAATGTGTACTTGCAATGCCTGTAGAAACACGAATATATCCAACAAAAATGTAAAACGTTTAAATCTAGAATTACACAAAAGAGCTAAAAATTCCAGTCCACCTTTACCTGCCACTCTAAAAATGTGATATATCTACTTAATTGTAGTTGTGGCTATCAATATGTGGGCAAAACACCTTGAAGCTTAAGCACTAGGATGGGCGAACATATTAGAAACATCAAAAATGGCTTTGTCAATCATAGTGTGTCTAAACATTTTATGGAGAAACCTGGATCAGACCCAAGGTTTCTGGAGTTTCACGCTATAAGAAAGGTTAACGTTCACTGGAGAGATGGTGACATTGCACAGAAGCTTAGCAGACAAGAAATAAAGTGGATTTTTGAACTTCAAACTTTAAACGCAAAAGGTCTTAATCTTGATATTGAAATAAGTACCATTTTATAATTTTTATTGAGTTGTTTTAGAGGTTCTTCTGTTTTTTGTCTGGTGGGCTTTTTTATTTGTCCTTTTATCCACTTATGTATATGGGTACGTGTATGTGTATGTATATATGGTTTCATGTACATAAGTATACATGCATATATGTCCATATATGCTTCTATATGTGAACATGTTTATTTATATTTTTATATATGTTTTTATGTACTTATTTTATATTTGAATATATATTTTAAATACTTTTTAACTGTTATTATGATATATACTGCTATTCACAATTTTTTCTGTTTTGTCCGTTTTTGCCCAAATCCAATATGGCGGACTACATCCGGTCCAGACCATATAAGGAAGTTTTATCCCATGTGTTTCATTACTACATCTATTTTATATTATGTTTAAGTAATTTTGGGGTATATAAAGCCTTTTATGACAGTTGTTAGGTAGATTTCACCTGAGGAAGGCATCTTTTAAAGGCTGAAAACGCGTTGTGCTAATTATTTGTTCAGTTTTAACTACTATTTGGAATAAACCACTATTATATCATCTATTTTGTTCCTGGTTCCAGTTTTTACTTGGAAAATTAAAGGTTCCAGCAATACACAACTAGAACTATCCCAATTGTGGATGACATGCCTTTATAGTTCAGAGCCACTCTTTAAGGGCTCTGTAAAGTGTGAGTGTTCCATTTTTATTGTATCACTGTTATATCTATGTATACAGGTTACACTATGGTTCCTCTGTTTTGTATTTATATGATTTAGAAAAAGACCCATCACATTTTATTGTATTTTAAAGGTAAAGAATTTTTACAGTATGTCTGTGGTATACCTTACAGTACGCTGATAAGAGCATTTACCCACCATTTATTTCACAGAACAAGTGAGAAAAAGTACCCAATAGAAGAGGAGAAGATAATTCTATATTTATGTATTATGTATTTCTGAAATACATAATACATACATACATAAAGATTTTTATACTGCCCATTGTTTTTTCTCTCTTTTGTTCACTTTTCAAAGAGCTTTTATACATTGAGAAAGATACATGAGTCTTAAAACATCTGTTGGTTTATTTGCCCTTCAAATAAATGTTGGTTTCACTAGTGTTCCCTGTATACTTAGCTGTGCCTGTGTAGCTAGAAATCCTTGCACTGGCCCTGCTATCAATCATCCATTTTGTGGCGCCAAGCACAAATGTCAGAATCACAAATCAGAACAAATATGCTCAGCCACTGCAAGTTACGTTTGGTCCATGATTCGACTACATTTCAACTTGGTGTTTGGGAATTAGTTCAATCTCCTGCTCGGTCCAAATTTAAACAAAATACAGTTCAGAATTTAATGAATATCCAAATCTAGTTGTGAATACAGTGAACCAAAAATGAATTATACAAAACAAATATAAGAGAATCAAGTTAAAATTTTAAAAGCAATGCGGAGCCTAACTGCCGAGCCAGCCGGACGCACCTTGGTCGAACTCCTGGGGAAAAACGCCTAAAACAGCAACTAACTACGATTTTAATCGGAAATTAACAACTGCAATACCTACAGCCACTGTATGAACTCTTACACCTATCATCCTAATGGAGTTTGACCGGCGTCAGGCGGTTCTGGATCGCGGGAGAATGGAGTCCTTCTAAACGAGGAATGGAGGGAGGTGGCTGACCCCACTGCCCTCGGGCTCCTATACCTCTGCAGGACCCATCAGAGCACAGCTAAATCCCCCCCCCCCTGCCGGTGAGGGAAATCCCGGTACCCAAGCCTGATCAGCGACAAGAAAAGAGGGATAGTTCAAAATGGCAAAGCTGAGCACCCCTGACAATGGACGACGGCTGCCCGACCTCCAGCTCAGACTTGACAAGCTACTTGACAACTTTTGGCGCAAACTAGAGAGCAGAATGCACCCACCTGCCTCACAACAGCCGAACCACTTACCCAAAACGCAGCCCCAACGAGGGAGAAAAAGCCCGAAGGTCCCGACTGCACAGCGAGCCTCAAAATGGTGGCGTACCAAGCGGCGCACCCTACACCAGCACAAGAAACCAAACATCCACGAGAAACACCATCAGGGGCATAAAGCACAAATGGAAAGCACGACCGCACAAGTTTACTTAGCAGCAAAGGAGTCTAGGGGATCGCAACGCCTCACTCCACTCCTGCTGCAGATACTGCATGGAGGTCGGCCTCTTCGGACAACAGTGACCCACAAGGCCCGGCCACGCTTCAAAATTGCGGAGTACCCCTGACAGGCATCGGCTGAACGGGGAACCTGAGTCTACGCACATGCCCCAGACAAGGAAGCATTACAGAGACTCACAAGCAGGTTTCTGATGCCTCACTATGTGGTATGTGTGCAATTTTGTCTTCCACTCTATAGTCTGGGACTGCATACCATTACTAATGGGCATAATGCCCCCATTTTGAGTATATATAACCAGTGCCTTGCTCCAATGGCATAGCTGATTTAAAGTTGTAGCTCGTTAACTCACCTCGTCAGCGATTACAAGCGTGCTTTAGTTAGTCTATGAATAACTGCTGGCTATTACCAGAATCTTTTTACTCTATATTCTCCATTAGTGTTCAAACATTTCAACCTCACATGAGATACAAATGCACTAGCTAAATGGTGTCTTTAGCATTTTCACTGCACTACAGGTACTAGCTATGTTGCTGCTGACCTGGTCAATGGGTGAGACAGGATGGCTTGCAGGATACACTCACACTTGAATTGACACATTAAAGATATACTACTTAAGCTTGTTAACTAAGAAACACATTACAGTACACCTGTTTTCACAACTCAATGGTTTAAGCTTGTTTATATACTATAAAATGAGGTTGATAATCCTAGGAGATGTTGTGATATGTTATGATGACCCCTACCTGTATAATTCTTGCAAGTCTCCCATTGTTATTCTGTACCACCATAACCCCATATCTCAATAATATAAAGAATTAAAAAAAAAAAAATTAAAAGCAAATTAAGCAGTATGTGTATGTATAAAAAAAATAAACCTAGCTGTGTATGGTGAGTCTGTACTCAAGGCTGAAACTCTTTGCAGGACATCACAGACAATGAAACTTACATTAAAGACACTCATCAAAAGAATGAAATGGAGCCTACGTTCATTTTCAGATCAATCATTCACTAACAAGCCTACCATACAAGATAAATAATTGATTATTTGGAATTGTTATAATTAAGACAGCAATTCAAGCAGGAAAACTTGATCAAGCAATAAAAAAAAAAATTAAAAAAAACTATAGCCTGGATGATGATTTTGCTTACTAGTGACCAGAAGATTTACTGGTGAGTTCCCTACAAGCATATTCATATGTACCTAAAAGCTGAGGACAGTACCTTCTACTTACTGTTATAGCCGGGTGGATGCCCCAAACTAGGGGTTATCAATACAGAATTTGTGCTTGGAGGGTGGTGACAGTTTCATAAGCAAGACCACAAGTTACCATTTTAAACATCCAAATGTATTTCTGGACAAGTGATTACATTTTGATTGAACTGTTGATTACATTTAAAGGGAGCACAGAATACAGTATTCTTAACATTTTGGTGTTTCTGTCCATTGTACTACTAGGTCCCCCCATTCGGCTGTGAAAGTGTCAAAAACCCTTTTTTACTTACCTTGTTTCCAACACCGAGGCTCCTCAGATGCCATCTCGAAGGAGCATTGGATACCTAGTGTGCATTCATAGAGAGTGTATTAATATATCCCAGAGTTTCACATCAGTAAAACAGCAAGGTTATATAATTACTCATTTGCAAGAGCCATCATTATGTTATGAAATAAGCTTCATAGGAGTGTTCAATCCAAAACAAGACTCCAGCTTTGATCACATAAATTGCCTGGTGATTGCTCTTGTGAGGTAGTCAATGCTATGACCATTGATGACCAGTTGGAAAGTCAATTAATGTCCATTGATGACCAGTAGAAAGTGTAGCCATTTTCAAGCAACGGTAAGAATATCGGTTTTATGATCGCATCTTAAAGATAATATATTTCAATGTTCTTTTTATCTTGAGATGCATTTCTTAATAGAACAAGGCAGCTTATATTCAGTAGGATAAATGATTTATGTTGTAATAGACAGACAGATAGGTTTATAGCTGTGGTTTTGGCAAAATCAATATTTTTCAAATCACATTTTCTCCAACAGATTACGTAAAATATGGTTCTTCAAATCTTTACAGTATAGTCACTGAGTGGTTTCATATTCTCCCAAATTATGAATGGACACTGTGACGAAATGCCTTTTGTCCCTGGATTGTTAGGTGACAAGCTGCCCTTTGCCCCCGGCTTTTGGAGGAGCCTGATTGCCAGCCTCCTTCCTCATGACTATGGCCCTGGGGTGTATTGCCATTTAAAAAAGACTATTTGGGGCTTATTGGCTTCTAAAGACAGTTTCTTCCCATTGGAATCCATGGGAAGGTGTGTTTCTTCCCCTCCCCCGTTTCCTGTCTATTGTTCACCTAGATTGGGCGCTCAGATCCGAGCTATCTGGGGATAGGTTAAATGTGGGGGTTCTGTGTAATAAAATAAGAATTATGTATTTTTATGTACTTTTACGTATTTTTGCTGTTAGTGTTAAATGTAGATATTTTCTGTACCTGGAGATAATTGAGTTTACTGCAGTGCCTTAAGCCAATTATCTCCAGGATGGAGAGGAGGGATTTCATTGTGTATGTGAGAGTGTTATCATGTTAATTAGTGTTCCCATTGGTTTGTGTCCCTTTTGTCACAGTTTACCACCAGGTCCAGTGGGTGTGCCTCTGACCTGAAAACTTGTATATAAGCAGTAATAAACGCTCATTGGAGTCAGATCATCTTGTACCTTCATGAAGTTTCGGCTCATGTTTGGGGGATTGGAGAAACTACACTCTGGGGATTGCTATAATCACTATACTCCCCAGGGTATAATCACTAAGCTCTGCTAAGAGCTTGTTCCTGTTCCTGCTCTCTGGAATTCGGAGAGAGGTCGACCTGCTGGAAGCTGGACCCTGGTCCTGGGTCCAGAGTGGGTGGAGACGGCGAGACCCCAACCAAGCTGCGGCGGTTCGTGGGGTCTGCAGTGGTTATGGTGTCAGGCAGAGTGCTTGGAGTCCTCGAAAAGCACTAGGAGCATCCGTCAGCGGAAGGTACCCGGTCGGGGTGCCAGCGGTTCCGTTACAGTGGTGGCAGCGGTGGGATGGCGTCCTAGTGCGAGGAGAAGCAGCGCAGAGGCACCGGTAACATTTGGAATTACAATTTGAGGGCAATGCTAGTATTCGTACAGCGCCCCTGTTCACAGCAAACATGACCTATCGCTTTGAGGGCGACGCTTACAAGGAGGAGGTCAAGAGGCGGTTAACCAGATATGGCCCGAATCTTTCGACAGAGGCGATTCTGGCAACCATGCGCAAGTTGGATGAGGAGAATCGAGCGGCATGGGAATTTGAGCTCCGATTGCGGAGATTGGGGCTGTGGCCAATTGATCTCTCTCCCCAGTGGCAGACAGCATCCCAGGGCGAGGAGATTGTCGGTCCCTCGTCCCTGCAACAACCATCATCACTGGGAGTAGAGACAGTTGGTCTGACTCCCCAGCGGCAGTGTGTTGTCAAGGGAGAAGAGACAACCGGTCTCTCTACCCAGCGGCAGACAGCATCCCAGGGAGAGGAGATTGTCGGTCCCTCGTCCCTGCAGCAACCATCATCACTGGGAGTCGAGACAGTCGGTCTGACTCCCCAGCGGCAGTGTGTTGACAAGGGAGAAGAGACAACCGGTCTCTCTCCCCAGCGGCAGTGTGTACCCCAGGGAGCTGAAGGTGTCGTCCTTCCTCCCCAGCGGCAGTATGTATCCCAGGGAGCTGAAGGTGCCGTCCTTCCTCCCCAGCGGCAGTATGTATTCCAGGGAGCTGAAGGTGCCATCCTTCCTCCACAGCGGCAGTGTGTATCCCAGGGAGCTGAAGAAGTGTGTACCGTGCCGTCCTTCCTCCCCAGGGACAGTGTGTAACCAAGGGAGCTGAAGGTGCCGTCCTTCCTCCCCAACGGCAGTATGTATCCCAGGGAGCTGAAGGTGCCATCCTTCCTCCCCAGCAGCAGTGTGTATCCCAGGGAGCTGAAGGTGCCAAGCGTGTGTACCCCAGGGAGCAGAAGGTGCCGTCCTTCCTCCCCAGCGGCAGTGTGTATCCCAGGGAGCCGAAGGTGCCGTCCTTCCTTCCCAGTGGCAACTTACCCCACAAAGAGGAGACACTAGTCTCCCAGAAGGTGCAGAGGAGACCGTGGTCTCTGCACCCGACTTACAGGGATGTTGGACAGCCTGTCCAGATCCCCAACTACCCTTGCAGGGACACCAGGAGGAGGGGGTAAGTACTATTTCCCCTCCCCAGCCATGGCCTAACCCAGCTGCCCCAGCCGAAGCGCTGGCATCGGGGCAGAGCGCAGTTGGCCTCTGCCCCCCAAGCACCCAAAGCGTGTTACCCAGTGACCTCAGAGGAATACCCAGGTGCAGTAAATGTGTGTTGTGGGTGGGCTACTCATGTACTTGTTCACTGTGGGTGGGTTTATCGACTAACTCAGGCACTGACCGACAGGTCAGGTACCTGGTTAGTCTCCCCCCCAAAGGGGAGATGTGTGACGAAATGCCTTTTGTCCCTGGATTGTTAGGTGACAAGCTGCCCTTTGCCCCCGGCTTTTGGAGGAGCCTGATTGCCAGCCTCCTTCCTCATGACTATGGCCCTGGGGTGTATTGCCATTTAAAAAAGACTATTTGGGGCTTATTGGCTTCTAAAGACAGTTTCTTCCCATTGGAATCCATGGGAAGGTGTGTTTCTTCCCCTCCCCCGTTTCCTGTCTATTGTTCACCTAGATTGGGCGCTCAGATCCGAGCTATCTGGGGATAGGTTAAATGTGGGGGTTCTGTGTAATAAAATAAGAATTATGTATTTTTATGTACTTTTACGTATTTTTGCTGTTAGTGTTAAATGTAGATATTTTCTGTACCTGGAGATAATTGAGTTTACTGCAGTGCCTTAAGCCAATTATCTCCAGGATGGAGAGGAGGGATTTCATTGTGTATGTGAGAGTGTTATCATGTTAATTAGTGTTCCCATTGGTTTGTGTCCCTTTTGTCACAGTTTACCACCAGGTCCAGGGGGTGTGCCTCTGACCTGAAAACTTGTATATAAGGAGTAATAAACGCTCATTGGAGTCAGATCATCTTGTACCTTCATGAAGTTTCGGCTCATGTTT